TTTATACCTGAAGTCTTGTGAACAGTTTAAATATGAGTCCCATTGAAATATACTCAAACATTCGACTGAAAAGCTTGCTTTCTGTCCATTCAGTATGTAAGGGCAGAAGACAAGGGACTTGGTAACTGAGTGTTTATCTGGAAGCTGATATCTGTATGTAGCGAAATTATGTACACCTTATCTGAAAATCGTCATTTGCACAGATCTTCCATGTTGTGCTTCTTCTTTTGTCGTTCCTTCGTATTGTGTTTCTTTGTCTTCTTTTCATGTCTTAAATGTTTCGCCAAAACACCGGTTCATTTGCTCTCTTTCACGTCATATCTATCTTTCTGCCATTTGATACTTTTGTGATGCGATGAATGCCTTTTTATATACTGCTGACAAATCTTGTCAGTAGCATACACCACAAGTATACATGTTTATGCAAGTACAAGTTACTCATTAAGGACATTCGGAAGAAGACCAATGAAACTCAGAATAGCTTAAAGATTAAAATCAAAGTTAGAGACTTTAACATGATTCTTGCCAGGTCCTATTATTAGTCTCCTGTTATACCTGTGAACAATACAGGATTAGGGTTATTTCCTACTGCCACCTTAACTCTCAACATAATAAAAGTATTCCTACTCTGTAAAAAATTTATTTCTTCATGGGAAAGTCAGCATAACCAGAAATAACAGCTAATTATGTAAATTTAGTTAATATGACAAGTAAATTACTAGTTTTTAACTTAAAACTATTTCATGCAATTCTTCCCATTAATAAACTTGAACAAAGCAAGAACAACAATAATATGAGCTCATCTTTTATTATTTATTATTTAGCATTCGTTTGTCACTAACTAGGCAGATGCTGTTAAAGTTCAAATAGAGACCGCTCCATGTGTCTTTACTATACATTGATCTAAGGAGTATCCCATCCGATTTTCTCTCCAAGTTTATATCCAGGAAGTGGAAATCATCAGCGTTTTCATGCTTCATCATGAAAATGATATTCTTCTGTACATTGTTGAATAAACCTGATAGAGAAGAAGCTATTTTCCCGTAGGATACTGTGCACCCACGCTAAATCTAGTGATGAGAATATGAATTGGCACTAGGCCTAGGAAATCATAATATGTCTTCTCCTGTCCTACCACCTCTGTACATCTGAGAAACACATAGTCGTGTTTGACACGCTATTTTCAATGCATGACTTAATTTACTGATGTCAGTTTCCTTGTAGCTCTATCGGCATGTAGAGGAAAGCAGATCTAATCACTCTAATTTCTTCATGATAACGAATTTGAGTATTCTTCTAAAAAACAAACTTATACTTCTATTCAGATGATGTCGTTTCAATACACAACAAATTTAAGATAGTTCCATGGAAAAGTGGTGACATCAAAGGGATGCAGTGAATTCGAGTAAAGAATGAGCAAACTCTGGTGCAGAATAACATGGATGCATTTCATTTCACTGGTTCTCATCAGCTGCATACAACCTGTAATCTTTAGTAAAATAAGTCAGCGTAAAATTTAACGTACTTTCGTCATCCACAAGCATATTATAAAAGTGTCATGAAGAGGTAAGACATCAGGATGACAAGGAAGCTGAAGTATTGCAGTGTAAATATATACATACCTTGTTAGAGAGAAGTTTCTAGAAAATTAGTAACAGTTACATCATTAGATAAAATAAGGTCAAAATTTGGTGTGCAAGAGGTGAGATGGAAAGGTAATGATGTAATATGGTGAGTAGAACTCATAAGGTCAAGAAAAATTGTCTCTAATCGAAGACAAACAGAAGAAATTTAGGCGAGGGTGGCGGGTGTTGAAAAGATAAGTTAACGAATTCAGAAGACTAAGAGTTATTAAGCGATGAATCAAAAAGACAATTGGAGTCCAACAACAGATTCCTTTTTGACACTTGGGTCAGGTTTCTACCGTCTAATTGCGATAGCCTCAACAAACCGAAGAAGACTTGATCTGTTTTGTCAGTTAATTATTTCGAATGATGCCAGAGCGTCTACATGGTGTCTATCAGGTGTTTGGTAATTGAAGTGCTTAAACTACTTTGTCCGTTTAACCGGAAGCTTTTTGGTACATGTTTGAATAGTCTGACGTAGGCCCTTGTTTCTGTTCTTCCAATGTAACTGCTCCTGCAGATACATGTGAAATGGTATATAAAGTTGGAGGTAACACATGAGAGGTACTTGTCGATCTTTGACCGCACCAACAAGGAAGATGTTTGGAGCTCAGAGACTAGTTTTGCTGCAGGATACGTCTTGAACAGGGCTGTACTAAATCTTTTATTCATGATTCTCATGGTATTATCGCCTTTGAAGTTTAGTTTCATGAAAACTGGCTTCTTGCTGACCATAAGTTCATCAGGTTTTTTAAGTTCATTCTTACCATATTTGTCAATGAAACTTTGTGGATAACCATTTTCTTCCGAGTAACTTTCAAGCAGCATTAGTGTACTGTTTAACTTATCAGGTGAACATATTCTTTTCGCCCTGGGGAAAAGCGTTTTCACCAGCGTTCGTTTGTAACTGATGGGGCAGAAGCTGTTGAAGTTTAAGCAGAGACGGCTCCTTGTGTCTTTACTATACATTGATCTCAGGAGTATCCCATCCGATTTTCTCTCCAATTTTAAATCCAGGAAGTGAAAATCATCAGTGTCTTCATGCTCCATGGTGAAAATGATATTCTTCTGTACATTGTTGAATAAACCTAAGAGAGAAGAAGCATGACTCGAATCATTGCATACAATGAATGTGTTTCATCAACTGCACACTTGATTTTAGGCTGTTCTAGATTGATCGTAAAAATTTCAGCTAATACAGGATCAAACAGACTCCCTATCGCCACTCCATCAAACTGGTGATATATTTTGTTGTTGTAAAAATGTTCCAGTAAAAATGACAGAGAAACCTTTGTTAGACATATTTCAAGTGATAAGCAAAAGCTGAAGAATGGTCTTATTACTTCACATTCCCTGACTGTTTTGCCAGAAAAAGTGATACTGAATTTCTAATAATATTGAATTACACCATTATAAGGTGAAATTCTCTATGAGACGATATGACAGAGGGTCCCTGAAAACTTGGGAGCATTGGTTAGCTGTTTCATCCCATCTTTGGAACTCTTCAGCAATGCCATCCAATAACTCGATAGGGGATTCGACTCAAAACATTTTCGTTAACAGATGAACAAGTTACCGTTATCACTAATGTCATTTTAACCTACAGTTTCAAAGATTAAAATGAAGGTTTTTTCTTGGATAAATGCAGACCAATAGACAAAAGGTTTATGAGAACTGAACCATTCCATTTTGGTGGACTAGTATTTGAGTGTTAAGTAGATTGCTTAAAATTAACAATTTTGTACTATTTCTCTTTATAAACATTTTCTCATCCATATACTAACCTTTTCTATTTTGGTGTGGGGGAGATTATGCTTATTTGAAAGTATTATATATTGTGACATGTGCTACTGATAGGATTTGTTAGTAGTATGAAAAGAGACGTTCATCGATTCATAAAGATATCAGATAGCAGAAAGATAGATTGGACGTCAAAGTGTGCAAATGAACGAGTGTTGTGTTGAAACATGGGAAACAGGAAAAGAAGACAAAGAAACACAATACAAAGGAAGAACAGAAGTAGTACAACACGGAAGATCTGTGCAAATGACGATTTCCACATAAGGAGTACATAATTTCCCTATATGCAGATATCACATTGCAAATAAACATTCCATTACCAAGTTTCTTGACTTCTATCGTTACAATATTACTTGTTTTCCTTAACTAAGTGGTTTTCGCAAGTGTATTTAAGATTGGGTTATCGAAATACATAAGAAAAAATGGGATCATATTTGAATCCACTAACAACAGTGTGTTTGAATCGCTTATAAACGTGCCTTATACAGTATCATCCAAGATTACTAAGTCCGTTCTTCACTCAGTGAGCGACACATCAGCACACAGATTTATTTAGCAAAAGGGATCGTTAAAGAGCTGAAATACTCAATTGCACAAGGTGGCGCTCGAACTAGAAAAAGTCAAGTGTAGGTAACCGTATCATATGATGACTCTGATATTGATTTACACTTGAGACGTTATTAATATTGCAGATTTCGTTACAGATTTTCGCCAAATCAGTTAAAGAATCTCTGAAAACGAAGCAGTACCTTTACATCTATTTAACCCCTTTTATAAAATGTTAAACAGTGTGCACCAACGAAATCACTGAGTATCGAACCCATTACCCTCAGGTTACAAGGCGGCTATGTGGTTGGCGTTTCAGGCACCTTAAATTCCAGCCTCAGGTTATTCACCTTTTAGTGCCAGTTCCAAGCAATGCCATCCTTGAGGAACTTCTTCTCAACCAGCATGGTAGACTTGACCGTTTATGACGTATTATGAGAACTTCACTGAATACATCCTATTGTGGTGAGAGCTGTCTACTAGCCAAATTGGTAGACAGTAATTTACGTCAATGTTTACGTTCCCAAGATTTGTCGTGAGAAAATGTGAACAAAGATTGATTCAAAACCGACCACAGAAGACTTTGCGTAGGCGGATGCAGTTAACATATAGAGGATTTGACATTCAAGAAACAGTCACAAATAGATGAAAGATTAACTTTACGTGAGAAACAACCAATCGGAAGACTGTGTTTGTTTACTTAAATATCCATAGTAATGTACATGAAAATATATAAATATACGTTGATTTCCTTAATAAATGATCTGTTGCCTGACTCTTGCCTTCTGTTGTTACATTATGTCCAATAATGATCAGGTAAATAGTATCCAGATTAACGCTTGAAATCCCAATATTACCAAAAGTTGTGGACATTATTTTTATAACAAGTAATGCACCAAGAAAAAATTACTACATTCGCTTACAGCATTTCACTCCATGCTCGAAGTAAACAGAACGACAAGAAGGACAGATTTTGAAGATAAACACTGAACAATTAGAGTTTCATTCATTACAAGTGTATCTACTCACTTGTTCCTTTTGCAACTCGATGACGGTTTACATTTGAGCCATAACGTGTACATGGAACTGTCAGTCTTAGTACACCATTCATAAATTCTTCTCCATTCTCCTGCATACTTGTATTATTTCTATATTTCCATGTAGGTTTATTAAAGTGTAAATGAGTTATAGATAGTGGATGAATTGGTGTGCCTAATTTACCTTGAGAATAATTGGATGGTGATAGAATGTTAACATCACTGTTGCCTTCTGCTTGTTTCTGCTTCTGATATGATTGACAATAAGGATAACTCAATCCTCTGAAATCTTTCTGATATGTACTTTGTAAGCGTAAACGATTTAAAAAGGCATCTTGTTCAATGGTTAAATGTTGTCCAATTTTTGATCGATTGTATACCAGTGTTTGAATTAAATCTGTTTCTGTATGTCGATGTGGTGAGAAATGTTTATCATCACTTGATGTTGGTGATTCACAAACTGTTGAATTTGAAGAATTCAGTTTGTCAGATGATGACAAATAGCTTTCATCATTTCGATATGTAAGGAAATCCTTAAACATTTCAAGAAAAAAAAATAAATATGCGGTTATTCAAGTATTGGTTTGTAGGGATTTGGTTGATTGTTTACAGGATTTTATCTTGAGATGACATTGGTTAGAGAACCATTGGAAAACCTGGGAGTACTGGACAGCTATTTCGTCCTAGTTTCGGGACTCTTCGGCAGTACTCACTCACCGGGGTTCGAACCCAGGACATTCTGGTTACAAGGTGAGCTCGTATACCATTACCAATGTACAACAAATTAATAATTTTAGTGATGAATTGATTTCATTTAGAGAAACATTAAAAGCCAGGGGGTACTGGATATTTTGGTTCGTCCCTGTCTTGAACTCTTTAGCGATAAGCACGCTTGACCTCCTCCAAGGATCGAACTCACAATATTCAGGTTACAAAACAAACTGGAGTGAAATCCCTGAAAACCGACACTTCAGAATTAATCTAGTTTACATTAGTGACTCACTACAGGATGAATTTGCCTGAAGTTCTAATGGTAAGTCATGATCAGTGGAGTCAACCTGGATGCGTATGAGGACAGATACTCACGGGTGACACTGACAGGTAGTCATGCTATGCTACGAAATGCTAGAAGTTAGGGTTGATGGGCCTCTGGGTCCCCTGCCGATAGCTAAATGGTATACAAGTTTACCTTGTACCTTGACAGTCGGTGGTTTGATTCCAGGAGGAGAACATGGGTGCATGCTCTGAAGAGTCTCAAACAGAGACGAAACAGATATCCAGTACTTCCTGTTCTTCAGTGGTTCTTCAAGTGAGGTTAAAAGTGAAATCAGTTAAATCTCTGCAGATTAACGCTTGACGGATACCCATTCTCTGTTGTCGACAAAAACATGAAAGAAAAGCCTTCACAGCTGAAAGTTACAACTGATCCTATGAAAACTGTCTTCATGAACCTAGAATTTAAAGGTGACATTGAAGCAGAAATTCTTAGAAAAAGCCTTTCTAAATGTCTGAAGAAGACATTTCAAGCAGCCACCTTACATTTGACATTCTCCAACAGACAGTTAATCCAGTCGAGTGTTAGGGAATAGATTCCGTTTTTAGCTATTTCAGTGTGTATTTATCAGTTTACTTGTTCCTGTGGAGCAAAGTATATTGTCCCTACACAACGTCAAGTTCGGAAACGTATTCTGGAATACTGTAAAGCCTGACAAGCTAGCCAGAGGAGAAAAGAAGAATATTAGCAGCTCCATCCTCGAACACCTTGTCATCTCTGGACACCATGCACCTCTGCATGAATGCTTCACAGTGCTACACGGAGTTCCTCAATATCGCATGATAGAACTTCGAATACGCCATTTATACATAGCTGAATCATTGGCTATTCGGGATTTAAAACCGGAATTCTGCGGTCAAAAGCACGACATACATTCACTCGCCCGACAGTGGCCAAAGTAACGTTCTTACTATAATTCTGTTTCATTTTATTATGTAAGTTTACTATTATTATTACCGTTACTATTATTATTCTCATCATCTTTATTTTATTATCACTCTACCGTATCCCTACTAGTATTTTTCCACTTCATACAATCATAGTGATGTTTCATTTCTCATGCCTATTACGTCAACCTGACTTCTATCCCCTTTTTCTAATTTCAAATTAGTCATCCCCTTCTAGATTACATCTTACACATTACGTAATATATTTTATAGGACAAACTAACCATTATCTGATTGGTTTTATGAATTCTTTGCTTAATATATGAATACGATTGTACAGCTTTTGAGAGCGAATCGTCGAAAAGCGAATTCTCTTCACCGTTTACATCTTTTTTATTATAGCTATTTGTATCACTTTTTTTTACTTAAATCTTGTTTTCTCTGCTAACATCTTTGCATTTTGCAACTACTAGTCTAAGCCAGTGCGTCGGTAGCATAGCGGTTAGGACGCTCGCCTACCATGCACATGGTCCGGGGTTCGATCCCCGGCCGACGCACTCCTTTACCTCGCTGAACCAGATATAATGCTGGTGAAGAGGAAAGGTTGGGCATGAGGCTGGCTAGCAACCCCATCCTGTAAAATAAACACTGCTACAGAAACTTCAAGCCACTAGCTTGAAGCCCAATGTTCCACTGGGGAACATGAAGGAAAAAAAAAATAAAGTCGAAGCCAGTTAGCTCTCCAACCCTTAGTAACATTCTGGTTAATCCTCTCTATTCCGAAATAGATCGGTTATGTGAGTGACATTCCAAACTGACCTGCATTTTTAAAGCCAAGTGAACGAAATAGCTGGAAGGAGTCTCTTATATCTATGTCTGGATGGGTGCTGTGAGCGCATGTATTTCTGTTTCGCTTGGATGCCATTTTAATAGCTTTGACTGTATACTGCAAATCTCTGAAGCTTTGGATAAACTTCCGTCATGACAACTGGAAGGAGTAGGCAATAGTAACATATCCTAAGTTAGTAAAACGTTATGAAATAACAGAAGTTTAAGTGAAGTTCTGCTTTTCTCTGTTGACTTGAAAGTACTTGCGAAATACCACTGTACACTGTATACTCTGGTGTATTATAAGCTAGAAAAAGCCGCATCACAATGAAAAGTAGTTTCTTCATAGCCTAAAACTCTTCAGTTGTAATAAGGCTTCATTCTTTGCAGTGAGAAATACAAGAGATTATATTTAGCGGCTTAGATATACGCATGTTGGACATTAATTTTTTTCTGATTCCCTGCCTTCCAAGTAAAAATATGAGGCTTCAGCCATTGAAGTATGAAATGTCATTATTTATAACCATTGTAATTTCAGGTAGTTTTCAGCTGATGAGAACCTGTGAAATAGAATGATATCATTTTATACTGCAAATCTGGTCTTTCTTTCTCCATCGAAGTTGTGGAGTTATTTTTTACAAGGTAAGGTTGCTAGCCTCACTCATACCTAAACTTCCTTCTTGTTTTCCGGTCTTATTACCCTCTCGATAAGGCGGTGTTGGAGTGGGTAGACCGGAAATCGAACCTGGGACCATAAGTGTGGTTAAAAGGGCATTCTACTGCTGAAAAACCGAATTAAGTGTTCGATAGACTAGTAAAGAGAATAATTCTCAGATCTTTGAGGTTGATTCCTTCATTATTATTGAGTGAATTCGGTGTGCAGAGGGATAAGTAGAACATGTTACGCAAGAGTTACACGTCTTGATGAGTCAAATTGATTGAAATGATAATAATAAGTTGATCAGAGGTCAAGCATTCAGGTCAAGAGTATGGATGAAACAAAAAATAAATGAAGGAGTATAAATGATATTGTTTTGAGCTGACTAAATTTCAGATAACAAAACTGAAATAAACTAAAATTTTGTTGACACCACCACCTATCAAAGAACGCAGGTACATACACCAGCGGACGAGTTCCAACAAGGGACGAAATTCGCATCTTGGATTCCACTGCTAATCATCATCCACCAGATTAATTCACGATAGAGATAGATTGGCAACAGTTTCCATATGAATTCACAAGTTAGTTCTTCACTTTTTCGACACTTTTACGATGTGCAGTAGACAGGAACTAACTTAAACTTTGACTATCTTGAATGATTTTAAAATGTCTGTTTCGCGGTCACTACTTACCAGGTGAAGATCGATTGCACTACTGAAGAGTTTTACTCTATTTATTCACAATTTCCTTCAAATGTGTTCAGACAGGCTGTCACAGATCTTTCTTCTTATTCATCCGATGTATTTGCTTCAGCATATACGTGTAAATTGGTATTTGGATTACGATGTGATAATAAAAGAAAGACTCAACTCTTCGTGAATTCACTTACCTAGTATTCACGGTTTTAATCGTCTAACTAATTAAAGTATATGAGTATTTTGTATACTCACATTAAAACTGATCTGCGTTGTATGTTGCGCGTTGGCGGTTCAGTGGTGGAATAGTCGACAACAACCACGCTAAGTGGTCCGGAGTTCGATACCCAGCCGACACACTCCTAAACCTCACTTAGCCAACAATAAACCCGGTACAGAGGCGAGTTTAGGCGTGAGCCTGTGGTGAGAGCAAGCTGCTAGCCAATTGGTAGACATTGATCTACGCTGATTGGTGGAAATTAATCTAGGCTGATTCAACAACCGATCACAGCTGACCTAGACGTGGACAAATATGATTCGCAGACAAGTGGCTCGCATTTCCGAGAAATATCGAAAACGAGAAAGCAGAAGACTGCGTTTGTTTGCAAACAACCAATCAGAAGAGCGCCTTCTTTCTGCGGGCAGAGCCTTATTAATGTACGTAAAATACATATAAATACCTGTTGGTCTTCGTAATAAAACTGATCTGTTGCCTGGCCCTTGTCTTCTGTTGTTACAAGCCTAATAACTGCTACTGGGACTTCAGACATCTAGCTTGAAGCCTTGCTTTCTACTCGGAATGCGAAATATGCTACAAAAATTAGACCGTATGCAGTTGACAAGAACCAACGAAATACATTGATGATATTCAAGTTTTGGTTTGTAGGGATTTGGTTAATTGGTTACAGGATTTCATCATGAGCTGACATTAGTTAGAGAACCATTGGGAAACCTGGGAGTACTGGACAGATGTTTTGTCCTAGTTTGGGACTCTTCATCAGTACAAACTAATACTTGAATATCAATGAGATGCTCACTAGCGACTGGCCCTATTCAGGTAGGTAGTTACCTGGGGTTCCAGTGGGAAGTCGTGACCAGTAGGGTGCAGCAGGTCGGTTGCGCTATATCGTCAATTGGCAGAAGTTAGAATTCATGGGCCATTGGATCAGGTCCGAGTGGCTTAATGGTCTACGAGCTAGCTTGCCTTGTAACCAGAAGGTCCTGGGCTCGAACCCCGGTGGTGTGTGCGTACTGATGAAGAGTCCCAAACTAGGACGAAACAGCTGTCCAGTACTCCCAGGTTTTCCAGTGGTTCTCTAACCAATGTCAGATCATGATGAAATCCTGTAACATTGATGATATCTTATAATCCTGGTCAATCTGTTGTTCTTGCCTCCTTCAAGTTCATCAAATTCCTGAGAGAGGTAGATTTCCGTATTGAGTAGATCAAAGCACTGAGGATTCATGATTCAACTTTTTGTCTGAGGTACAATTTCAAAATAACAAAACTTTAAACAAAACCATACATAAAAGGCGCCATAAATTAAGCTTACTTTTCTTGGATGAGGTTTATTCGCTCTTGTTCCACTAGATGTAGCTGTTCTTATTGATGCCATAGGTTGTGGTGTCCAACAGCCAATAAAGTCGGATGAATATACACTTTGATGTGGTCCATCAATTGATTTGATAATCTCTAGACAAGTATTCGATCTATAGGTGTTTGGTGTACTGATCGATGTATAGGTTGGTGCTGCAAATGCGTGTCTTGTTGACCTTGGTCTAAAATATACACAAGAGTGATGAAGTTTCATAACGGAAGAATATAAATATTGAAACAAAAATGAGCTTCAATCATTCTGTATATCATAATTTAAATAACTCTCTATGGAAATAAACTCATCCGTTGTCCTTAGTGCATGCAGTCGATGAAGGCAAATATTGATTGGAGGAAATACTTGAGATTTCTCTTACGTAAATGCTACCTAATGTGTTTGTACATGGATGTGTTTTATTATTGCTATTATTATTTGTCTTTTGTGTTCTGATTAGAACATAAGGTTTGAGTAGAACGTTACCAGTTCGTTCACTTTGTCCCTTGAGGTCATTTTCAGCTAGCCACACGATTTCCTACGTGTTTTCATATCCTCCTCTAACAGGAAGCGTCTAAAACAGTAACCAACTTCTAATTCATTACATGATTCATTGTGTGACCGCGTGACTAAAATTTCCTCATCATTTTCTTACCTTGGTCTTGGTCAAATAGCCAACCAATCAGAATATTTATTTTCCATGGTCCTAGCCAATTCGCTTACCAGTCAGGACGATTTATATCCACTGACCTAGAGAGATCTTAATATGGTTAAAAATGTCATAGGCCAGTATTTGTATTTTGATGTTTACGTGGCACAGTGAAGCGGAAAGTGTCACAGACGAATAGGCGTATTTAGCATATCAGCTGAGTTGTCCATGGCGTCAGTATTCTTTTATAACCACGCATAAGGCCACTGTCGATGAGGTCATATCAATTGGCGATAGGTTCATAACGTTCCCTCAGAAGTTCAACTAGTTGCTCACTTCCCATTTAGGGTTCCCCCTTGAAAGTCGGTTATGTGTGATGTTACTCAACGGCTTTCTCAGTGTATGCGCCGTCCATTCTCATTTCTTTCTGCATACTTGAAACTGCAGAGAATGGAAGAGTTTTGAAGTGCGTATAACTAAGAACATGCACACTTATCATACTGATAATCGACGTGTACTTGAATCGGTAGGTCTTTTTTACATGAGACAAGATGTTTCAATTTTTGCAGGCACCAGTTTTGATTAATTATCATATTATGGATTTTTTCGACCAAACCAAATGACACAGACGAATACTACTGACAGATTATCTAAATCAACACACTGCAGGGCAATATAAAGTAGGTTTTGTGCAATTAACTGTTCGATTTAGAAAAACAATGACAATTATAACCAAATCGATGAAATATTAGATAAAGCAATAAGAAGATGTAATTTGTCTGAATCGCGTAATGTGCATTTGCGCAACACATTTCTAACTATCTGATCACACACGGACTTGTCATAGGAATATATATGAAATCAATAAAGAGTTAAGAGGTGAGAAAAAAGACAAGTTGGGTCAAGTTAAAAGGACATATTGAAGGTCAAAATAACAATGAAGACCACTAAACTAAATAACAGAGGTAATAGTACATCTACTATGCTATCAAAACAAAATTTACCAAGGAAGGTTTAATGTGATGACGAATTGTTTTTGAAGGCATAAAGGTGGTTTAAACTTTCTAATTGCCAACTAGGGCTTCCACAAACTTTAGGATATGCCCCAAACACGTTTTATAGATAGTTTTTAAAGCCGTGTAAACATCAATTTTATGTCCTGTCTCTTTAATATGTTTCGCAATAGAAGAGCTAGGTCTCCTGTTCTCACCGTTAATAGGTTCTGAAGATTCCATTTGTTTCTGGAGCCATTTAGGAATATGCTCTGAAGCCCTTACTTGCAGAGATCGATGAGTCCTCCCTATGTATGTGTCCACACGTACATTCAAGTTGGTAAATACAGTGGGATGTGACATCATTTTTCACATGTTCGAAAGGCTTAGAAAGATATATTGACTTCACATTCTCAATTATAATGATATTAGCTGCATAAATCGACTTTTTTAAAAGCAGCGTTCAATCTCTGTCTAGTTATTAAGCTGCTATGATGCCCCATATAGGGTAGCTTGATGTACACGTCTTTCTTAGGGACGAATTGTAGAGCGAGTCTTGGTGTTCTGACTACTTCATATCTCCTGATGAATTTGTCTGGATAATTGTTATCAACTAGAGTTTGTGTCAGCTTTCTTTCTTCTTCATCAAGTGTATCTTCAGTGCATATTCGTTGGATTTTACTGAACAGGCACCTTACTAAGGCTCTTTTGTACCGAACAGGGCAGAAACTGTGGTAGTTAAGATACTGTCCTGTCCAGGTAGGTTTTCTATAAATAGATCTTTTTATTGACCCATTAAGCCGTCGACTAAGCAATATGTTTAGGAAAGATAAACATTTATCTTCCTCTTCTACAGATGTAAGTGATATGCTATTTTGAACTTCATTCTTTCGATTTAAAATTGAAGTGGCAGAACAAGGCTTATCACTTATGATTACAATATCATCTACATACCTTCTATAAAATGGCACATTTTCGATTAAATCCTCCGATAAACTCTCAATGTACGACATATAGATATCTGCTAAAAGGGGCTCTAACGAAATTTCCATAGCAACACCATGAACTTGGCGGAAACAATCGCCTTCAAATGTAAACCTAACATTGTTAGTACATAGAAGTAATAAATCCCTTAAATAAGATATAAGGAGCAGTATGAAAAAGTTGTTTTTGGAAATGTTAATTAAGTACTATCACCAATATGAAATAATTAATAGTGATTTTAAGGTCTTCAAAGGAACTCTTTATAAAGTGTCAGAGAGAAGGTCAACTACATTTCTGGCAGTTTTGTAAATCCTGAGTGTTAGTCCTTTTTCTTTATGTGCTCAACCTTAAACTACTTGCTAGTAAAAGGTAGTATATCTTACATGTTGACTTCACTACCTTTAGCCGCATCCACAGCAGTTCTGCTTTTCACAAAACTGTATCTTATTTGTTGTGTTAACATTTTACCTCGTCATAAGTGATCCTCCTACTTCAACTGAATTCTGCCTGATGCAAGTTTCCATAAAACTGAATGAAAGATATTAGATGTTTGGAGGTAATCGGCAGGAAGCCTTGGAACTGTGTTTTGTGTATGCTGGCACTCATCAGAAAGACGCCAGAGACGTTACCACTTAGTTATTCAGTCTAGCGATTGACCTCCTGTAGGCCTGTATCAAGTGCTTCGATTGGATACTAAATAGTGCTATGCGTCTAGTCCTTTGCTTTGGTGCAGACTGAGTTCTGTCAGTCAAGTTTACAATGTGGCCACCATGCCACTAGGCGGATCGCCATCACGGTGCACTCAGAATCCTTGTTATGAAATGGTTGGAGACAATCATGATGGCGATTAGCCTAGTGGCATGGTGGCCATATTGCAAACTTGACTGACAGAATTCAGTCTGCAGCAAGAACAAACGACTAGACGCACGACACTAGTTAGTATCCAATCAAAGTACTAGATGAAAGTGTTCGCATATTACAGAATTCTTAAATAACGACAGCTAATTTATTAGTCAATAGAAAGTTCTGTAGAATGGTAATCTGAGTCTTTTACAGTCATCCGGACAGTGAAGAAATCTGACTAATTCTGAAGCATATTAAAGCTCTACTTAAGTGAATATCTCAGGCGGAATTGCATATATAATATAAGGTTGACAGAAATAATCACTGTATCAACAAACTTCAGATTTATTCCGTTTTGGATCTTAGGAGAACATTCAATTCCCTACTATGCTGACTAAATACTGACGAGGTAACCAGAGCACAAAAATCTTTCACATAACTAAAGTTAGAACGTTGGAATCTTTGCATTATTGTGATGAAACTGACTGATTATTCGATCTAGAAGAAACTGGATTGGTTTGGTTCTAGCTGACCTACCCGTCTTATTTGTTGACAGTATATCTGTAGGCATTTGTAGAATGCCTGGATAGAGCCTTCACATTGCTATGAATCAAACTTTAGAGACTTTTTCTCGAAAACGTTCAAAACCAGCCACAATGGCGTAGGTCTATTCATTCTTTGTCATCGTCCATGTTACGAAGATTTTTATCCAGTTATTTTTCTCTTCTGTGCAGTTTCTCTGCTTTTATGTGGGCTTTCTGAAGCATAGCAACTTGGAATGATATACTTCTGTACCTTGCTGTACATAAGTCCGTCAGTTAGACAGTAAGTCAACCATAGGGTATCTAAGTGACGGCTTTACACGGAGAAGTAATGTAATGCATTTGAATTTATAGTTTACAAATCTATCATGGATGATAATAACAGAGAATGAAGACAAAAAATCTAATCCAATGGGTCAACCTGTATTTGATTTAAAAAAAAATTGGTTTCGACTGTTTGATTCTGACTGACTCAGTTGAACTCATTGTTAAGACTTTCATATGCGTCTGTGGTGCAGCAGTATGTGAGTCAGTGGTTCAGTGTTCGTAGAATGCTTATTATCCACTCCGGAGTTCCGGGTTGTATTCCTAGCCGATGAACTCCTACACCTTGCTAAGTTTCCTGTCGATGTTAAACTTGGAAAAGTTTAAGAAGGTTGAGTGTAACACTAGCTTACCTGTCCCATGAAAAATACACCAGCGCTGAAGTAACTTCAAAGCCTGAGACCTGGGCTGATAGCTGAATGAAAGTTGTAAAATAAAAATATCTGCATTCATCCTGCAAATATTTTTGTTCTTACTTTTTTTTCAAACTAATCGAGAAAGCTGAATGTATTAAACAATTTATAACATTACATATATATATCCTGATTCCATTACTTACCTTAATGCTATCATAGTGGGAGCTTTTTTGTACCCAAAATCTTTTGTATACGTTGTTTGTTCAATAGTATCTTGATCAGAAGTCAAATTACACTGGGGATCAAAGCCTTCCTTGCAATCTAGATCCGTTCTTGTTGTTGTTGTTGTTGTTCTATCTGTTGATATCTTATCTCTTTGTGTCACCGTAGATCTATGCGTATCTGATGGTGTATTGAGACTTTCTTTCCCTGCATTATTCCTTTCTACAAAGAACAGGTAAACAGTAAAACAGTGTTATATTGGTATTAGATGGTTGAAGGCAATCGGCAGGAAGCCTTGGTCCTAGGTTTCGTGCCGGTTGACACTCATTATCAAGGGGTATCTGCAACCTCAAAGGAACTCATATCCCTTCTGAGATTCGAACCCTCGTCACCCAGTTTTGCAGTCAGAGACATTACCACTGAGCTATTCATGAGTTCCTTCGAGGTTGCAGATACGCCTTGCTGATGAGTGCCAACTAGCACGAAACCTAGGTCCCATGCTTCCTGCCGATCGCCTCCAACCATCTAATACCAACAATTCATAGTGCACCGTAATGGTGAGCCACCTAGCATGATGGCCACATTGCAAGCTTGACTGATAGAATTCAGTCTGCACCGAAGATAGGACTAGACACATTACACTAGTTAATGACTAGTTTTCAATCAAAAACAGTGTTATATTGTTCACATTCATACTGGTGTTTTTTTTGAAAAATCAAGAACAAATTCCTCCCGTTTTGTTGGTTATCTTAATAAGTTATTTTTGTATATCCGTTGAATGATTCGTATTTAATTGAAATGTGCGGTGTTGTGTAGCTGTCACACTTTAGTAGTCTAATGCGTCACGCGTACACACTTGAAACAATGAATGATTGTTCTGAGTGTCAGTGTAAATGTTATCACACTGGTTAATTCTCAACTGGACAGAATGACCATCTTGGATTCCACTGGAGGTCATCGTCAACAAAATAACAAAATGGAGAGATTGAAAAACAACCTTATTTCACGAAACATCTATGTATATATAAGCATTCTTGAAGTCAATATGTAGAGCGCTAAAAACGTGTTTCTTTCTGATATACACTAACAGAAGGAAGCCTCATGTTGTTAGCTAACCTGATAAGTTTTAAGTCGAAAACAGTTTGACACTATGGGGTGGGCTTTCAAATGTGTAACTACATATCCACCACATAAATTATTCTTTAAAACATTAGGTGATTGAATCTGAGATTATTTTAGCTGGCTTTTATAACTATTTTTTACAGATTCAGAGTCTGGATGTTCGCGTCATCAAAACCACTTCCAACAGGATAATGCAGACTTTACACAACGGAGTCCTCAGCGGAATATAGGGCTTAAGGCTTCGAAGTCTCGTTAGCGATGGTATCGTTTCTTTATGAGGTGGAGTTGCTAGCCTCACACTCCAACTTCTACTCTTTTCCAGGCTTACTGTCAGCTAAAGGAGGATTTGGACCGCATCAGTTGGCAGTCGAAACCGGGCTCTCGTTTCTCTTCATTTCCACTTGTTCACTTCATTCCAGGTTACACTTCATACTAAGCAAATCATTTTCCAGAACGGAGTTACCAGTATTTGATTAGTCTTTTCTGAAATCTCTGTTAAGTATAAATATGATTGTATAGCTCTTGAGAATGATTCGGCAAAGGGAAAAGTTTCTTCTGCGTTACGTCTTCTTTTGTTCATGACTCACTACGGTAGTTTTCTGTACATATATGTATTACTTGATGAGATTAACTGTCGACGTTTCCAGGATTTTATTCACTTGTAGTAGCTGATAGTGATCGTCTCGTTGACCCAATATTCGATCTTTTAGTAGTGTGAATATAATCCAAAACCAATCTATGGTGACAATGAGTTACACTCAAGATCACCAGGAAAGGCGGATATTTCATATATGCCAAAATCTAACGCCGTATTGAAGCCACTGACGAATGTGATATCTAAAGAGAAAATAGAATTTTTGAAAACTGAACCATTCAACTTAAAGAGCACAGCAACGTCGAATATATCCAATTGAGCTACTCATCTTCTTTATCATTTCAAGGTCACGTTCGATATGTCGTTCACCATGTCACTGCGTTTACTTAAAATAATGTTAGAAAAGAAGCCAAACTTCAGGGGAGATAATCCTGTGGAAATCCCACCGCAATGTCAAACCAGAGTGATAAAGAAAACTTTCTCCTCTGTACATATGTTCCTATCCTTCAGTAGCCGCCCAATATTCACCCAGAAACTCAAAGATGTCTTATCTAACTTTAGATCTTCCTCATACATATACGATTTCAATTGTTCATGTGGATCAGGTTATACAGGATGCACCATTAAGCAGGTTCGTCTAAGAGTTAGAGAACATTTACCCACTTGGTTGAGCAAGGGGGGAATCAAATTCATACGGAAGCTCGATTCTATCATACGTGGTCGATACCAGACATCGCATCGACGCCATCACAGTCTTCACGGTTATATACCAAATTCTGAAGTCATTATCATTCACAGTTCGCTTATGTCTCTTACATATAGCTGAAGCTGTTTCAATAAGTCGATTAAACTGGAACTTTGTATTCAAAAGAGAACACTGTCAGGCACTATTCTCACCGTGGCCAAAATTGGACTAATTATTTTTCTTCTCTTCAAGAGTGCCTTTTCTGATTTTTTCGAATTTGACCACGGATTGATGTCAGTTAGGGAACCAATGAAACCGAGGAGTACTGGACAACTGTTTTCTCCTAGTTTGCGAATCATCGGCAGTACGCACTCTACAGGATTTTCCATTATTGCTATTCGAAATTATTATTAGTAATATTATCTCTTTCCTCAATATATACCTCCACCTGTTTCATTTCACATATTGGTTATTTCATGATGAACTTGTAGTGCACTTTCAATGTTTTCAGTTTTTGTTTGTTTTAATTTGTACTTGTAATATGGTAGCTGTGGCGCCATTACGTTTGTTGTGCTGCCTACAAGCACACTCTTCGGGCCTGATATTCTGCATCACTTCAGACAAGTTGTACAATATTCTTATTTGTTAAATTAGACATTTCAACTGTGATAAAAAATTTAATTCCTATCAGGTATCATTACCAAGTCACAAGCCTTTTTACTTCGAGTCTGTTAGTCGGTACTTACACGTTAGGTAGAGTACTGATTAGGGTATTAAGAGGAGAATTCTTTAGTAAGTGAGGTTAGTTAAGGCCTACTTTAAGTACAACCATTAACTTATAAAATTCTCATTGTAGTCCTATTACCTCCTCTTTAATGCATATTACTGTGACAGCAGAAGGCAAGACACAGAAGCCAAGGTGTATTTTCAAGTAATCAAACAGCTATTTACATCTATACAGTTTGTATTTTTTGACCAATCACGGAGCGTGTGATTTTGGTTTACATCAAACGACATGAAATGGAATCTTCAAATACATATATGCTATTCTGTTGCTAATGCACTGTTGAACTATGGGAACAGTATTCAGACGGTAACACCAACAAATAAATTAACTCTTACAGTGAGAATTATATTCCGTTGGAACCCGTTGTCTGTATCACACCACCACAATACTTTGTACTACCCATTCAGCTGACACCTTTTATAACCTTGAACTGACTTGTCAGTTTTTCCTACCCCACATTCTACGAATCTATAATGACTAATCTCCACCATTGTGTCCCATTTCACAATATTTTGGTGATTGATTTTGGCCTAGCAAAGATCTTCACACCTAAATACTATTTATTTTGTCACCCCATAACTAATCTGTTATTCTACTTTGGAAAATGTATCCGACGTATAACTGGCCATTATGGTAAAGATAACAAATATTATATGTCTTATAACTGTAAGAACCTGAAGAGGAGAAATTATTGAAAAGAATATTTTTCGATACATTTTGATTGATTTCTACTACTAAACAGTTTTATCATATCAAAGTGTCTTTCATTGAAATTTAACAGCGTTGTCAGAGTAGATGTGATGTTCGGAACTAACTAGATGAGCGTGTATGGAGCTACGTATCAGTTTAGTCGATCCTTTGCTTAACTAAGGTGAGTGGTGTTCGGACGAAATAATCGACAAAGAACTCAGAAATATTTGTGATCGACAAATTAGATATGAATATGTGGATTGAACAGAGATAAAGGCTGGGGCACCTACACTCTTGGAAAAATCAGTGTTCCTAAGACGGAAGTTCATTAGAGAAGTTAATAGTGAAATTATGTCCAAAACAGCTAAGAACGCCCTTCAAAAGAACTTTTAGCGCCAATCAATACTCATTTCACTAAATAAACACTAAATATCTTATTTCCCCTCCTCCATGTGTATCTAACAGTTTATCTCATCCCATAGAGCTATAGGCCAGAAATGATCAACAACAGAGATCTCTAGGAGCAAACAACCAGGAACCGATTGTATAAAAAACATGCAGAAAGAAATGGAGATGTATTGGCCATACTCTGAGAAAACAAACCATCAAGTGACATCACAAGACAGGTCCTTGAGTGGAACCCGAACGGGAAGCGGCGAGGTGGTTGTCAGTGTGAGGGTCACATGGAGGAGGTCATATGAAGAGGAGATAGAAGCATGTGGGCAGGCGTGGAGCCAGGTGAAAACGTTGGCAGAGACACGAACACAGTGGAGACGTGCGGCTGAAGCCCTATGTTCCTCTAGGAACATAAAAGAAACAATAATAATATAGCACAGTTACACTAAGCCTACGATTAGACACTACTCATCTTGGTTAGACAAAGAGATGCACAGTTTCCTACTAGCTCATCTCATCGACACCAACAGAACTTTTAAAGTCATCAATTATTTAACTTACTCAATTTTGTGCTCAAATTTCGAGCATTATCATCTTTGTGACCTTGTCTTTCATAAAGTGGTAGTTTATGTATAGATAATAATAATTCCTCTTGACATTTTGAACTGTTCAATGTTTCATTATCATTCATTCCATTGTACATTGATTGTCGACCGCATAGATTATTTGATTCATTTGACGACATATTACTAAATAAAAGCAACAACAAAACAAATAATAAATATTCACAGAAAGTAATTTTATCTTTGTGAAGAATGACCAGTGTTCAAGTTTCATTTATTTCGTGTGTAAATTCTTGCCACTACTAATTGGTTATTTATTTCGTTTTGGTTGGAATTTTGAGAACAAAAATACTTTTTAGTACATTTAAGGTCACTGGAATACAACAAAAAAAAATAAAAACAAACAATTACCTGTTCAAATAATTATTATTACTTTTGTACTAAAACAGAGATAAATAGTAAGGGAGAATGAATAATATGGCGTTAAATTAGTTTTATTTCACAGTACGGAGTAAAGTTGTTCAATTGTTCAAAGCGGTTGAATATTCAATTCAGTATTCAATAAAAAAGTTTCTGAAATAATAACAGTAAGTTGAAATAGCCACTGTCACGTGTTTTATGTGAACGGTCATATGTTGAGTAGAGTAGTATGTACAGTTAACATGGTTACTTCTATTGTAATCACTGTATTATAAAGGCCATCCTAGCAATTACGCTTCCTATAGTAGTATAATACGGACAGGAATTTGTAAGTAGTGTGCTGTGAGAAGTCTTTTGTAAAATTTCTAAACAGATTAGTTGTAAATAAAGTCGGGAACAAGAGCAGTGGAGAGAAATGGGAATCACTATGGGAAGTATGAGACGAAGAGAAAAGCAGTGGAAGGTAAACACGTTGTGAAAACTACAGGTTCAGTGCATGGTATAACAACTATCTTATCCATCCGTTATCCGTTACTTTTAATGTCACTGCTTGCGACCAGATGAATATTCGTTTTTATACGGCATTTCAACCTGAAACCAATCTGGAAATCTTCGTCACTCAGTATCAACAACAAAATTCGGATTTTCAAGTCAGTTCTTCTATACGGATCAGAAACTTGGCGAGTCACAAAGAATATTTCCAACAGCCTGTTGCAGACCTTTATCAACAGCTGTCTTCGTTCTATACTCAAGATCAGATGGCCGCCGGGAAGAATCACCAACAAGAAACTATGGGAACAAACAAAACAGGAACCAATCGCCCAACCACAATATGCAGGAGAAAGTGGAGATGGATTGGATTCTCGCTGAGGAGGCCACTGGGTGACATCGCGCGTCAGGCCAACGTTCGAGTGGAACCCGAAAGTGAATCGGCGAGTGGGACGTCCAAGGGTGACATGGAGGGGATCGTGTGAAGAAGAGTTGAAACAGTATGGACTAACATGGATGCAGGTGAAAAGTACAGCAGAAGACAGAAGCAAGTGGAGACGTGCAGTTGAAGCCCTATGTTCCACTAGGAGCTCAAGGGAACAATAAAATAATAATAATACAGCATTTGAAGAGAGAGAGTTCCAGCGCTTCCTGTGGTACTCTGCTGTACTAATGGGTGTCGGTCTGTACTCAACGGAGGAGATTGTAATTTCCAGAAAATGTGTATAGTTCGGTTTCGGTTTTGCAAAGATTTGATTAATGTTAATTCAGACGTCGTCAAGAAACAACATCAGCTAATGGAATCCTTGATAACTAAGCGACGCTGGACGATTGTTTCGGCCTAGTCTGGAGCTCAACAGCAGTGACCACCTTAATACCCTATCTGAAACTGAACTCATAACCTTTCAGTCACTAGCTCAGCAGGTTTAGAATTCTGTCAATGGACTAGATTCCAGCTATCCAGCTAATTTATACGTTCTGTCGATTCGCTGTATAAAGCCATCGCCAATCAATAAACATCAATTTCACGTAGTCCTAAAAACGCACATTAAAATGCATATTGAGGAAATGCAACACTGTTAGGCTGTGTTATGAAAGTCGTAGGTTGGATCCTTGACAGCACCATAGATACCAATTAGTAAGATGCTCCAAACTTCGATGAAACACTTATTCAGTACTCCTTGAATTTCAGTGGATCTTCAGATCACGTCAGTTCATAATTTATCATGTGTCAGTATTACAACTCAATTCTTTAGGATCTGGTTATGTGAACCAGCTATGAGATTATAAAATCTGGTTAGTGCCGTTGTGAAGATAGTTCTTCTGGACTACCCAAAAAGCACGTTTATGTATCAAGTTCTTGAAGCGAAGACACTGTTCAAATTCTTGTTCATTTATAATTTGATGCGCTTAAATGACTCAACAAAACACTATAAGTTGTCAGTAGTGATTTCAGCCTATCTTGTTTTCCCTGATTATCAACAGTGACGGAATAATGCAGGCACTAGTTAAGTTTCTTTACGGTAGAGGGATCTCTGCTATTTTTTTTAATTCGTGGAAAATTCCCACTGAGACATATAGAAAATCAAAACAGGTGATTCCGCGAAGAGACTCTTTTCAACGAATTTATCATCAAGCTGTACAATCGTATATATATGGTTTTTAAGAAGTTATATCCGGTGAGGGAATTGAAACATAGGTGTGAATGCATAAAATAATAATAATAATATGAAATGCAATTAAAACTAAAATGTTTGTGATTATAATCGTAGTTAAATGTCAAGTGGCAAAGCAAATTAATGTCATATATAGAATAGGATGGATAGAACTTGAACAAAAGTGTGCAATTATAAGATTAGTAGACAAATCGAATAAAATAAAAATGTTACGTAGTATTGTGTGAAATTTAATAGCATTGAATGACAAGTGGTACAAGTGAAATAATACCGGGGACAATTAAAAGTGAGAGTAGTAATAGTAACAATTGACGTAATAAGGAAGAGTATACAAATTGGTAGAGCTAAAATATGATTGGGGATTACCATAGTTTAGCATAGAGGGATTAAGACCATGAAAGTTGGAAGGGTTGAACGGAATTTTTCTGTACACAGAGATCTGGCTTTTCTGTTTCGATAGCCAAAGCTTCAGCAAGTATATGAGTCGGGTACGTAGAGATTTGGGTAAATTACTCTTTGCCTTGTAGATGACTTTGAAGGTGGAGGCTATAGAGATAGGGTGATCATTATCGACCAGATGTTCAATGATCGCGCTTCTTATTGCTCCACTTCCACCTTTTCATAACCATGCGGGATAGTGTTCTTGCACCCTCTTGGACAAAACTCGTGTCGAACGACCGATATACCTAGATCCACACGAGCAGGTGAATTGATAAACACACAAAGAGTTGGTCAACAGCGGGATCTTGTCCTTCAGGTTATTGAACAATAATGGTCGACTAGTAAAGGCTATTCTCAGAGATGAAGCAGGTAATGTTCTTTTCAGGGACTGTGATATCCTTCGTTTAATGATATCGGAAGCTAAGTCCCCTTTGAATTCCAAGCTCATGTAAAGTATTTTCTTGGGTACGGTTGATAAGTCACGTGTTTCAGGATTTGAATGTATATTCTTATCTATAAAACGTGGTGGAAATCCATTTTCTATTAGGATTTTCCTCAAGATGTATAGCTCATCTTCCACAGTATGCCTTCACACCTATGTTTCAATTCCCTTACCGGATATAACTTCTTTAAAAAAAACCATATATATACGATTGTACAGCTTGATGATAAATTCGTTGAAAAGAGTCTCTTTGCTGAATCATCACTTGTTTTGATTTTCCATATGCTGAAATGGGAATTTTCCATGATCAAAATATTTGTCATCATAATAATATTTAAATGTCAAGTGACAAAACAAATAGTCATTAACAGAATGATACATAGGTTGTATAAATGTGCGTTCATCAATTCACCTGCTCGCGTGGAGCTAGCTAGGTATATCGGTTGTCTGACTCCGGTTTTGTCCAAGAGAGTGTATGAACAATGTCCTTCGCAATCATGGAGCACCTCGTCGAAACTGGTCACTTTACCTCTACAGCCTCAGCCTTTAAAGTCATCTACAAGACGAAAAATAATTTGCCGAAATTGTTACGTATCCGACTCATCCGTATTGCTAAAGCTTTGGCTATCAAAATAGATTAGCTGGATCTCTGTAGACACAGAAAGTTTGCTCAACCCGTCCAACTCTGATTGTCTTATTGCTTCTATACTAAAGTCTGATAATCCACATTCCTATTTTGGCCCTAATTATTTTTCTTTTTATTTATTCAATTACTTATCTGCGATAAGAACGTAATTCTTGATGACATTTTGTTTTCATATAACAGCTGTCATTCCGCTTTGCAATTCTCCACGGAAAATGAATCCGAACTAAGCATTCCCTTACTCGATGTGTGCCCTGATAGACGCAACGATGGATCTCTCAGAAGATCCATCCACCGGAAACGTACATGGAGTGGACAACTAACTAATTTTTATAGTTAAGTGTACATCTTCAAGAAAAAGAACTTAATTCACACACACTGCTTTGGGATAAGAAACATTTGTAGTTCTGACTGCGCTGACTCAGAACTTTCCTTCCAAAAAGCCACGCTCACAGAAAACAGTTACCTGAACCAATTTATTCACGAAATTGTGAAAGATAAGCAGTCAAAAATGGTCACCGACTCAGTTGCAAAAAAAACTGTATTCATAAATTCGGAATTCAAGACCGATAGGGCTTCAGATATGCTCAAAAATCGTCTCTCTAAATCAGTCAGTAAGACATTCTTCGCTACGAAATCACAAATGATCATCACCAGCCGTACGTTGTTCACTATCTGTGTAAAAGATAAGCATCCTCGTCTGACCGCCTGCATTTGCACCAATCAGTTCATCTGCTTCCTGGAACATTGGCCTTGGTTAGAGAACGCTTTCCACACAGATACTGGAACATATTATAGCCTGGCTTAACAATGGAGAGAAAGGGTATGCGTAGCTCTGTTCTAGAACACTTGGTCGACTTCTGTCACTATATTAATCCTCACCAATGATTTGAAGATCATCATCTTTGTTCTAAACATCTAAAGACAGCTGAGGCCTTGGTCATTCATGAATTTAAGCCAGACAACTTTGTGTGCTAACGAAGTATGTTTAGTTCCTATTGATGTTTTGGCCGTCAAAGGGATAAATATTTATTTGTTTATAGTTTTTATTTATTTTTATTTTGGTTATTTAGTTAATTTATGAACCTTTCGCTTATTACTACGATTGTTATTATTATTTTTACTATTACTATTCTCACTTTCAACTGTTTCCAGTATTCATTCGCTTGTCGCACTTGTCACTCTAAATTAAAAAATCGCTTTCCAATGTTAAATTCTATCTTATCAAACTTCTCATTATGTTACATAATGTTTTAATTGCCTGTTAGTCCCATTAATTTCACACCTCTTCCCAACATCTATACATCCCATCAACTATTCTACATATGATTACATATATATACGATTGTACAGCTTGATAATAAATTCGCTGAAAAGAGTCTCTTCGCTGAATCGCTTGTGTTTTGATTTTCTTTATCAAAGGTGATTCGGACATCAATTTGATTCACTTGAGATAAAAATTTGGTTTGATAAGTGAAATGAAGTTGATTCTTTTTCTGTAATATGTAATTAAAGATATTCAGTGGAAAATCATCTTCGGATAGTAGCATTGGTGTTTTCGGTGATCAGGCGAGTTCTTTCAGCTTATCTCCTACCGCTAGAAGAATACCATTCATAGTATACATCCTGTAGGACAAGTGAACAGTGTGCTTTTGTTGAAAAGATCCTGAAAAATGGAGCATAAATCCTCTTTTAACGGTTATTTACACAGTAAACTTCGTGGATTTAAATGAAATATTTCCCTTAAAGAGAATCAAATCAAATTGGTACCGGTACTCGGTTTATAGAGGCCTGCAGTGGAATCCAAAACTTGTGTTTCATCTTATTTTAACTTGACTTCAGATTGAAGTATGCGCTGAAGATGTTGCCTAGTAAGTATGGCAATAAAAGCTTCGCAAATTAACTATCCAGTTCAGAGAACACAACCACATCAAAAGTTTGATGTAACTATAACCTCAGCAACCACCACAGCCTACATGTCAACAAAGGCCGATCAATTAAGTCTAATATAATCAATACACGGGCGATTCAAAATATCTCGAAGAATAACAGATAGCTCTAGTTGCATAGTGGCTTAGCGGATAACACTTGGGCGTTTCAGACTATCGACGAATGTTTGGAGTCCTAATGGAAGCACAGTCATTTACTGGGGATGTAGGAAGCTTCGTCATTTTAGTTTTCGTTAATATAAACAAAAATAGAGTGTGTGTAACAGGGAACACCAGTATCATCCTTATAAATTTCTGCTCATAACAGTAAATATAAGTCTCACAGAACAAAACTTTTACATGTGGAGGGACAATAAAAATACGACTCAAGCCGTCATTCTATGAAATCACATTTATTTGAATTTCAGGTGGGACATAGGACTTCAAGCTCGAGAACTAGAGGTAACGTTGTCGGTGTTCCGGGGCTGGGATGCTTGCCTCATGTCCCACCTCCTTATTATACCGGCTAATCTAGGTTTATGAATGTTTCGACTGGGAACAGAACCCAGACCATGTGAGTGGTTGGTTGTGAATCACAGTAACCCTATTTTTTAATGAATGAGGCATAAAAACATTTTATTACGTATGATAATGAGTCAGTGGAAATCGAGGAGGATAAACCATTAGATTCAGACATATTAATCCAGTGATACTCATTATAAAAATAAGAAGAAGAAATATCAAACATTGCTGAGACTCTCAAGCAAAATAATTGTCCAACAAACCTCATCAAAAAAAATCAACACCAACGTTAAATATGGTTGAAAACGTATTCCGAAGGACATGGACCTCAACAGCTGTCATTCCATATAGACCATCAGATACGTCAGACGATATCAGAAGAGTACCCAATACACGCAACAACAAAGTTTTCTTCAAAACATCAGACAAACACTACAAAACAACCTTGTCTATGGAAAAGACTAAATACCGAAGGATTCTCTACCTAACTCTGTTTACAAAATAAAATGCTTGGAATGTGATGCGATATACATATGACAAACGTCGCAAGAAATCAAAATCAGAAGAAATGAACGACGTAGAGCATCTATTCGATCATTGGGAAATCCAGTTGAACTAGAAAAGCTTGAAAAATTATCAGCCATAGGTTGTCTACACGCTAAAGAATCAGGCCACAAAACTGATTTTGACAATTTTGAAATAATTCAGAAAAATTTCAGACATCACGAAGAATGTCTCACACCATCAGATGTAATTCATATCAAATAGAATCCAAATTGTCTCAAGTGAATATGAATAATGGAATAAAACAGAATTTGATCTAGTTGCAACACTCATCCCTCCCGGCCCCATGTAATGACAAAATCAACACAAATGTGGAATAAACAATTTCATTATGTTAACACACGCTGCTTTTATAATTCTACACACTTATTAAATCCAACAACCTACACACACTTGGTTTAATTTTCTTAACCAGTTTGCCAACTTGACAACATAAAAGTAACCCCATGCTGATGCACGCTGATTAAGTTTTTACATATAAACTGATATTTTGTAAACTCTGGTTTAATAATACTACTTTTATAAAGTTAGCTATTAACAGCAGCATTAAACAGAGAAACAACAGAATCGTTTTGTTTTTCATTCATTGGAGAATACAAAAAGAACTTTTATAATAATGAATATCATTTACGCAATGCCCAAATTTTTTCAAACTGTTTTAAAAGTGAACTTTGTTTGGACGTATATAATTCACTGATACTCTACTGGCCATAAGATCGCAAACTGCTTGGCTTTATTGCTTAGTTAAAGTATATGTCTGTATATGGAATCAGTTTTAAAATCTACAAAGACATTATTTAGTTGAAATTCAAACCTCAGTTATATCCGGTCAATTTATTATCGTTCGAATACTGGTCGAAAGAAGGGCAGTTGATGTAATTCTGCCTCCACTAGTAGAAATGCCTAGTCTTCGTTATACCATAGGTTTGAAATTCGAATCTCAAATACTCTGATGTCCTGCCAGACATCATTTTCAGTGAAAATTCCTCCAAAAATTAATAACCTTGAATGTCCATATGTGAGTATATATGATGTTGAATAGTTGCTTTGAAATGATTTGGCTCCCTGAGGTGACTGAAACAGGTTAAACCAACGCTAAATAAATGAGATAGCCGTCCAATGTTTATATATAATGCTATCTGGACCAGCAGACAGTACTGTGAATGGCTTTCAACCAACCAAATCAATCAATCCGTAATTTATTTGTACGAATTACTTTTGTCTGGGTGAATCCTTTTAAGATCAGTAGTTGTATTTTTTGATTGGTTTATTCTTGTTTGAATGAACTACATGTAGGTCGTTTACCACTGGTAGTTTGAATCATTTGTGTTCAAGTCAAATACTTTGAGTTAATTGATTCTAAGCATTTGATTGATTCGTTATCTTTACATATTTGCTTCAGTGAACCAGCCTGTTTCAGCCTTTGAGTCTCAAGTTATTTTTATCGATGAAGAAGAAGAAGATTTGAAACATTTCGCCCCTGTCATCTGCTCAGGAAGTTATTATGACATCAGTGGGTATCATTTGATGTTGTTCACATTGAATACAGTTGACTTTACTCACAATATCCCTAATATATCTGATTTATTCTAGTATCTGACGTAAGCTTTTGTAATTCTACACGGATGAAGTCTTTGTCTTTCCTTGTCATTGTCCCAAGAGATTTTCTTGAAATTGTATTCAGCTGTGTTGGTACTGACGCGATTTTTCATCGTTCATTTCAAATTGGTTTGAGTTCCAGGCCTCAAAGAATTCTGTTGCATTGTTTTTGCTTCTTCTAATATGTTCGCATTATCAAGAAGGACGATGAAAGCCGCTTCTCAATCGACTCATTCTACGCAAATCATGCAGATCATTTCTTAGCTATTCGGCTGGTTTACTCGGAATATAGAACTTCAATTGAGCACAGCAGTCTGCCTCTAGTCCTCTTGGTATTTCAGTAATCCGAATAAATATCTCAGAGTGACGTCACTGCATACCACCACTAATTGCAGTGTTAAAGTCCGTTGTTATGGTGATTTAATGAGAAGTTATATTTTGTTTTTATTCGCTTTTTAATTGAAATTTTACGTTAAAAATGCTTTTATCCACTTGTATGTTATCGGTAGCATTAGATTATTGAACTGCATTACATTTACTGAAATTGTATGAGAAAATCTCGCTTGATACTGATATCTGCGCAATTTGAAAGTATATTTTTGGATTTCCATGAAATCATACTGATTGGTATATTTTGGCCTATTTATTGAAACTCCCTACTACCCATTGGATAAAGCAGATGTCACCACTTCACAAAAGGGATATGGCCTAACATATTTCAAAGATTTCTGACTCCTTTATTTGTTTGAAAGTCATCTCTTGTGTGAGGTGTTCAGTTGGGAGATTCGAGGTTATCTTTGTTGTGGTATTTTTTTTTGTAATTTAAGTTTACGTATACACCTGCTGTTTTCTATATACTTAAATTCTAAGAATACTATCTTTATGTTATTGGAAGATCACTTGGTCAATCTGAAGAAAACAAAAGTAATGGGGAACTACATTTCCTGGGTACTGGGACTAAACTGAGGTAATAATAACCACACAAAACTAAGATATTTCAGGTAAACTGAACATTTAAATCCTAAGCTATATGCATATATATATATATACACTTCTACTGTCTGCGAAAACCAATAAAGTTTTGATTGTTTGTTTAAATTAAATTAACCGCTTCAAAATTATTACGATGTACTAAAACAAAATTGAACTGTCCAATGTTTTAATTTCTATAATCACAACTTGTGGGCATTATTACAACAACAATAACAAAAAAAAGTAAAAATTAATTTATGATAATTCTTACAGTGGGAGAAAAATCAAAATTATTTCAACAGAAAAAGACACATCTAAGATACACAGGTTTGCTAAGTATTAGGTAAGCATCAAAATTCTTTATCAGAATTACTAGTTAGATAATAGTTAAAGCACATAAGGATATTTATTGACAAATGGAATTAGAACAGCTGGAAGGTCAGTAAACAAACGTGTTAGTTAAGTACATGAAAATGAAACTTCAATTGTCTCATCTTCTTAGCTTCCTACTCCTCAATGGCTGGGGGTCGTTGAAGAGCACTTGCGCCAAGCTGAAAAAAACTACCAGCATATAACAGGACACATGCTGACCAAGCCATTGGTATCATACCACCAGCAAGATAAACTGCATTATTACGAACAGTCTAGTAGATAAGTAGATAAACAAATGAAAACAATCGATATACTGTCTTCTAAAATAAGGCCGTTATACAAATAACAATAATAGTAATAATAAGGTCACCTACACTTTGTTTTTTTTACTTATCGAAGATTCACTTAAAATTAATAAGATGGAAATTTCTAATTCCTATCGATCAGCTTACACTTAAAGCGAAATTCATATTAAAACAATCGATCAATTTTCTTTCATTCTGACTTAGAATTAAGTAGCAAAGTGCTGTCATCAGTAACTAAAGGGATATGAACAGGCTTAGTATTATTATTGTTCCCTTGGGTTTCGAGTGCAAAATACGGCTTCAACAGCACCTCTCCACTTCGTCCTATTTTCTGCGGTCCTCTCTCCTTCTGCACCCACGATTGACAATAATCTCTCATCTCCTTCGCCCACCACCCAAAAGATCTCCTTCATGTCTCCTACGGTTTAACCACTCGTCGTCCCCCATTGGGATTCCACTCGAGCGCAATGTCAGTTGACAGTCTCCTCAGCGTGTGTCTGATCCATCTCCAACTTCTCCTACATATTTGTTGAGCGATCGGCTCTTGGTTAGTTTGTTCCCAGAGTTTCTTGTTGCCTATTCTTTCGGGCCACTTCATCTTCACTATGGAGGCAGTGAAGACAGCTGTTGTTAAAGATCTGTAACCTGTTGAAAATCCTTTTCGTGACAGGCAGTGCAATTTACAGACCCGAATCTTGTTCTGTATGCTGGCTTGGTGAAGCAGAAGATTTCCAAACTGGTTTCAGATTGATGAAGGCGTATCTTGCGTTGCTGTGACATCATCAGCCGTGCTGTCTGTCTGCAGTTGAAACGATGCTGTCTAGTGAGGTAAGTGAAGGGAATGATCTCTTTCAAATTTCTTCCACTGATTTGATTAGGGCCAGTTGTTGTTCTTGTTGGTTAGTTATCTGCATCACTTCCGTCTTGTCTATGTTCACCTGGATTCCTGTCTTCACTGTACTCCTTCTTCTGACAGTCTGCTGGTTTTCGCCTGTAAGTATTTGAGTTTGTATCACTAAACCGTGAAATCCAGATCTTCTAGGGTCTTCTTATGAACAGGCTATCACTATCAAAACAGTGTTATTATAACCTGTTGACCGCAGAAAAGCTAGCCTCATTAAAGTTACTTGTTTAGCAGTGGCTAACAGTATAATCCTAGACGCCTACTGGATAATGCTTAGGCATTTAAAGCAGTGACTACTGTGTTCGGTTAGCACTAGGATCACCATCACCCAATGCGGATCAGGTACGTATCAAATCGATGAGTCCTAGATTCCGACGAAACACTAGTTCTATATTCAATTACTTGTCCCTCCTTGCAAGCAGTCTGTATACCGAAATCAGAGTGATCAATTCGGTTAGATATACATTTGGTAAATCACATACACACATCAATACACAACCTCACCCAAGTTTGGGACTATTCACAGTTCACTATAGTCTCAACTAATTGGCATTAAACCGAGATCCTAAGTCAAAACGCTGCAATTGGGGGAAGACAAGAGACTTGGTAACGCTATGTATTTTAGGAATTTCATATACACATGAACGTCTCTTTACATACTACGGAGAGCTTTCCTCAATAGCATATGCCAAAAGATGATATAGGTACGTATCAATGAGACTGAATAACTTTCATACTTTAATTTGTTGTGTAACTTTATGAAAAGTAGAGACTGTTACTTCAAAAAATCGCAAGCAAGTTTCACCACAACAAATATTCGCATAACTGTGAACTGTCAACTACTTGATTACTTATACTACTAAAAGTAGTATAAAGAGAAACACTAAACAAAATAGACATGGTCGTGTGGTGATTTCATGGAATTATTGAATATGCGCATTACTTTTTTAATAAGCATGTAAATTAATTGAAATTAAATTTAGTTTTAATACTCACAATTGACCAAGATGATCGTGCAGATCTTAATGAAGTATCCAATCGATAATTCTCTTGTGACATAACTTCATAGTAGATTAGCAGGCTTATGAAGTAGATGAGACCTTTAACGGTTAGATAAAAGAGAGAGGACAAACAATAACGCATTCAGTTAATAATTAGTAGTATTGTAACAATAGAAGACAAGGGCCAGGCAACAGATCAGTTTTATTACGAAAACCAACAGGTATTTATATGTATTTTACGTACATTAATGAGGCTCTGCCCGCAGAAAGAAGGCGGTCTTCTGATTGGTTGTTTGCAAACAAACGCAGTCTTCTGCTTTTTCGTTTTCGATATTTCTCGGAAATGCGAGCCACTTGTCTGCGAATCATATTTGTCCACGTCTAGGTCAGCTGTGATCGGTTGTTGAATCAGCCTAGATTAATTTCCACCAATCAGCGTAGATCAATGTCTACCAATTGGCTAGCAGCTTGCTCTCACCACAGTATGATACAAATAAATAAAAATATTATAACTTACTTCATAGTTGTCATATCCACTATCAGGAATAAATGTTTGAAGTTCTATCTTACTCATCCTAATTGTGTCAGTCACCATGAACTGATGAAATATAGAGGCAGGTCGTCTGTTTCTCTTACCCGACCTGGACTCTAACGTTTCAGATAGTGGCAGTAAAGATGAGGATGTTAAAGCCAGTCGGGATCAGAAAATACTCTGAAGTAAGTAAAGAGATCTGCAGAATTTAGCACACAGAATACCCTTTGGATATTCAATTCTAATGTCAGGTTACTGCCTCTATATTAGTTAAGAGAGATTCGCCTAGTGAGACAACAAAATCACTTTCAACAAGCTGAAAACTTTTACCAACATCTTTCTTAGGGCCATACTGAAGAGCAGATGGCCAGGTAAGCAACAAAGGAACTCTGGGAAGGAACGACCCAAGTACCTATCACCCAACAGATATATAGAGAAGTAGACGGAGATAGACTGGACTTACTCTGAGAAGACATTTAAATTCCATATTAGTTTGTTTATTTGATATATCACACAGTGAAACAGTTTTATATAAAACTCAAGTGTCAAAGTCGTGTGATTATAATTGATATGATTATGAACAATAAATTTTGTTCGAAACGTCATCCAGTAAATAATACTGTTTCACTGTGTGATATATCAAATAAACAAACTAAAATGGAATTACTTACTACCACAGTGCCCAAGTTTTACACATATATTAATAAGACATTTAAATGATATCACTTATCGTACCCCCAGCTGCAACAATGGTGAGAAGTGACGACTCTGGAGTCCTATAGAGAAGTGATGGAGATTATGTGAGGAAGAAGTGAAAGATTTTGGTCATTTGAGGAGCCAGCTACAAAAGACAGCAGAGAACAGAGTGAAATGGGAATCTGTTACTGAAGTGCTCCTTCATTCCCCTTGGAATTCAACGAACGAACGAATAATAATAATAGTTATCGTATTAATAAAAGATTATCATGAAATATGTGAATCAAGAGGTGTGAATGTAGATTAGCTAAGGGAAAATCGACTTCTCAGAAGCGAAATACAAATGACAGTGGTTTCTGTATAATAAATATACAGAAATAAAACACCATAAGGAAATCCATGAGGATCAACTTTACTGAATAGGGTCAATAAAATTGAAACTCACGTAAAGAGCTTCATATTAACTGTACCAGAACATCTTACAAGAAATGGTAAGTTTCAGCCTTTTGAAGATCACTCCAGTGTCAGTCTATTCAGTCACCGTCCTCTTTTTAATTACAATTCAGAGTTCGGGAAGTAACAAAGGTCCCATGTGTGTTATATAATGCGAACTTTCTTTAGAAGTATTTATTTTCTTAAAATAAAGCCATTAAAAACAGACAGGAGTAACTATTACTCCTTATCTGAGCTATTCTGGATGTTAAAATAGTTTGAGAATCCATCCCAGTTGCCAACTGTCATTTGGATATTCTAGAGTAAGTTCAAAACAAATAGTTTGCATTCCATTGTCCCTGCAGATTGCACAGTTAAGATCACTGCTTATAAACAATTTGCCTTATCAATTAATCAAATTACCCTTGAAAATTGAGCCGAAACTCGATAGTGACTGGCTAAAGACGGAAAAAGTTGCCTGGAGTTCTAGTGAGAAGTCATGAACAGTGGAGTGCACGTGGTTGAGAGTGTAGAAAAATAATCACCACCAATGGCATTAGTTGGAACCAGTCGCGCTAAAGTCATGGACTGATAGAAGCAGGAGTTCATGGACATGCTGCTGAGTCGGGTCTACGAGATTTGCTTGTAGTCACGGTTCGAACCCTGGAGGTGGAATGGGTGCGTACAGCCATTGAGTCCCAGACTAGAACAAAACAGCTGTCCAGAACCCGAGTGTTGCTTTTCAATAGTTCTCTAACTGATATCAATCCGTGGTCAAACTTTAAAACAGAATCAGATCCTTACAAACAAACTCTTTAAAATGCATTTATCGCAACATAAATGGCAGAATATGTTCGCTCAGTATGAGTGAAATGTGGGACACTGATAAATTTATAGGACAGTAGAATTATATAATTCAATTTTAGATTTTCCCGTCGATTGATTGAACCGAAGTGCTCGGTCTCAGATTGACATACCGGCTTCTTGTGCAGATACTTCGACGATGTCTGGGCATGTAATTCGGAGTTAATTGGTGGATGATGACTAGTGGTGGCGTTTGAAACTATGGGCACTGAGTTCGGACCTCGGTGGGAACATCATCACTCACTGCGGAAGGCAGACACCTCCGGATGACGAGTCCCGAATAGGACGAAACTCGCATCCTGGATTCTACTGCTAGTCACCATTCACCAATTAACTTCAGTAGATTTATAGCGCAATAGTTCAAGAAATTTACTTTCAGTTTTTATCCTTAGAAAATGCCTCAAATTCTTCTACCTAAGGTAATGAGTGGCTAATATAATCCCTCACATATTAAATGTGTCTTGAAGTCTGCTAATTTAAAAAGATACGTCCAGCATATCGATTATATTTTGATCATTATTGCTGCCACTAGGTTACATATTCTTGGGTGTATACACAAATCTTCCCAGAATATTTTCCCCGTATACATTCAACAGTCGGTTTGGAGAGATCTGTTTGATTTCAAGTTAGACAACGAACTTTCATCAGATAGAGATCCATTGAATACCAGGGAATACCGGAGAGTTTCTTCATTCTAGTTCGGAACACTTTAGCATTACACATGAATTCGGTATCTAGGGTAGAAGAGCAGGTCCTTCACGTTACGAGAACAGTGTATGGGAGTCCAGTGACCTATGACTTATAGCTCCTGCCTTTTCGCACTCAGATTTATGCGTTGTTGAATTCTTCTCCAGTAGCTGAATAGTCAACCGGTTCACTTTGTGTAATTTGAGGGTCCCCAACGAGGTTACACCTGTGTACTGCTGAGAAGTACCCGAATGAGATGAAACGGGTTTCTAGTAATCTCTGGTCTCTTTTGGTCAGCTAATTGATCTTATTTCATGATCTTTACAAGATAATTCTTAGCACAAGACTGTCCTTCTGCAAGCATCTCTTTCATGAAAAAACGGTATTTACTTATTATAGTCTCACAATAATGGAGGTTAATAGCTCGAGTGGATCATTTTGATGCTGTCACGTTTTCTAATCTGGTTGGTCTATGTGCAAGGCTGACTTCGAAAAAGGGCGTTGTTTAGAATAAGAGTAATAATAATAATAATAGAAACTTTGCAATTAACCCAGACAGCTATGATAAAAAGTAAAAGGTGATTACAAGCTGTTCAGCCATGACGCCTCTGGTTGAACCAGTACCTCCTCTTTTTAGCCATGCTGCATAATGTTCTCTAACACACTTTGAAAGGACCTGCATACAGCGACGTACGCACCTAGTTCCACAAGAGCAGCTTGGCCTTTACATACATATTGAAGTGGTCATATGAGGAAGTTTGTCCTTAACATTGTCTACGAAGTAGTGGGGGACTAGAGAATATCACTCTCAGAGTTGCTGCAGGAAAGGTCTTCTATAGGAAACTAGAAATTCGCCTCTTAAAGATATCTGCCGTTGAGTCTCTCCCTGAAATCCAGATTCAGATACAGTGTTTTCGTTGGCATTGAAGTGTATTCTTCCCTCTTTGTCTTTGGATTCATGTTCTTCTCCACTAAACCAGCCGGGTTTCCATTTTTAGCCAGGATATTTTTGAGAAATAAAAGCTCTTCTTCCAAGCAGTCAGTGCTGCAAATTTTTCTGATACAGTGGACCAGTGAGATGATGTAAGCTCTTTTTCGACTCACAAGTATCCAACTATAGAAGTTTATCAGTTAGCCATTCTATAATGATATTCTGTGGATAGATCTTTTCACAGCTGCACTATCTCATCTTGTCAATTTGACGTCCAGAAATGGAATCATTGATTTATTTTCAAATTCCATTTTGAATTTAATTGACAAGGCACAATTGAAACCCTAATCATTGTGATAGACATTAAAAGATACATCGACAACAACACCAAAAGCTTTATATATATATATATATATATATATATATATATATATTCTAAGTTTTGTATGCCTATCAGGTTATTGAAGAGCATAGCTTTTGGTTCAGATCAATATTAACTGTATCATTTTCATTTCTACTACATCAATTATATAATTTATTTTCTATATAAAAGTGTATGTAAAAGAATTTAGGTTAAAAGTAGTTTACTTGATTAATCTCAATGTTCATTCATTGTTCATTGTTCAACAGTGAATAAAACTTTGGCAAAGTCACTGCTTATTTGTTTTATATGCGCGAATAAGTAAAATATTGTAAAGAATCTTATATGATTACATAATGTATTCTGACGCTTTAATAAAGGCGTAAAATAATTAAAATAACATAAGGATCAAACCAGTAATATTTATCAGGATACTGGAGAGGAAAGAATAGGAAGAAGTTCAGCGAAAAGACAATTATCGTTTCGGTGATTTCATTCTCAAAAAACAGCTATACAATCGCATTTATATACATAAATAAGTTTACATAGATGCAGTTATTCCTATTTAACTTCACATAATAATTATGATGGGGATTAAAAGGCGATAATAATAACTTTCAACTTGATGTGAAAGTTCTGAGGAGTGAATTATATCGATTTCAAGGGGCTTAGAAACAAAATTACACATGTTGCACTGTATGTAAAGTAGTTTCATTTAACGAATGCATATGTGAAAAGGATGAGCATGAAAATAAATCGAAGTAATCGTTCTCTTTAAAGGTCAAATGAAAAGAAAACGAAAACTAACGAGTCAAACAGAACTAAAGATCCATGGTTAATGTAGACGTTAGACTGGATACCTTTGAACACATAACTCCGGCTCTTCGGTGCATATGGCAATGGCAGTACAAGGAAGTAGGAAACACACTGCCTTTAGTAGATTTTTGTTTACTTTGTAAATGATTCTGAATGTCGAGTGAGCTGAAATTCTGTGACACGTGTTGACAAGGTGTTCAATTATGCCACTTCCGAATGAACCGGTGCCCCCTCTTCATAGCCATGATGAGTAATGTTCTCTAACACATTTCGAAAGGACCTGCATAGAACGACCTATGCTCATAGTTCCGCACGAACAGGTGGACCCATATATACACAATGAAGTGGTCGTATGCAGAAGTTTGCCCTTCAAATTGTCTGAAAGGTAGACCGGGACTACTGAATGTTATTTTTAGAGTTGCTGCAGGAAAGGTCTTCTTTAGGGAATTAGAAACCCTCCTCTAAAAGGTATCTGCAGCTAATTCCTCTCTGAAGTTCAGATTTTTCATTTCAGTCATTTTTATTTTTATTTGATAATCCTAATGTACAGACACACCAAAATAATTGTATATAAGTGCAGTTGTACAGCTAAGTGAATGAATTCGCCGCCGAAAAGAGACACATCCCTGAACATCTTGTTCTTATATTAGTTCAGAAAGCTTAATCAGTTCAAACTACCGGATCTCGCTAGCCAGCAAGCACTGCTGGTTTATATGGTTGGTATACGAATACTCATCTCAACCAATGAGTAGTATGTAGTTTTATGTAAATTTGCTTGCTTTCTTCATTACCATTTATAGTATCAGGCAGATCACATACTGTGCGGTGATCTGCATCACTTGGTTTCCAAAGGAAACTATGATGAAATTTCATCACTTGAACTGTGTGAATTGCAAATTGCTAATCAATTTTCAAATTGTGAATTTGATTTCTACGTATATTCTTGAGAATTATGCTTTTCTCGTTCAACATTCCTCATTATGACCGAAATAAACACCACATATATGCATGTACGACAGCCTGCTTTAACTCTGAACCACTGAAATCCCATCTTCTATCTAATAAATACTTCTTCATATTACCCCATTCAGCCTTTGTTTTAATCACTTAAACGTTCTTTTATTATCATGTTATTTTCCCCCGCGCAATTTTCATAAAATGGCTCAACCTACCGCTTTCCATTTTCCCTATAAATCTCATAAAAAATATGCCTGGATGAATGTCAATAACTGATGGAGCATGCAGAAATCAAATGATTATTCATAAACTGCCTAGCTTAAAATGCAAATTTCATGGTTATTTCTTTCAATGTTATTTGTCAAAGTACTACACTGGTTGCATTCGAAAAATCCTGAGAATTCTGTTCCGTTTGAAATCATCGTTTAGAATACATTATGCATATATACATAAATATAAGCTTACCCATAAACCATAATGCAGCTCCTCCGCCTAATGCTGTATACTGTCCACTTCTTGGTTTACACTTTTCTGGTCTTTTCCATGATAGAATTAAGAAAGCACACGTAATAGAAATAATTAAAGCGACCAATATAATAACTATGATTTGCAAAGCATTTATAGCAGTCCTCATTGCTAAATGATAAAGGTCATTTAAACAAAAAAGTTTAAAAAAAGAAAAGTAATTTAACTTTTTAGTTGCTTTTTTTCTAAAAGAAAGTACAAAAAAGCAATTAAAAATTATTATTATCTTTAATTATCTTTAATTACGTTAATGATACATAAACTACTTTTTTTCACTACAATGTAATGATCATTGAATTATTTGTTTAAATGTATCCAATGACTAATATGGTGGCAGCATGTTTAAATTTGAATGTCATCTGATTATCAATGATACAAATGTCGACTAAAATCAAGTTTGCTCAACATGTGTAGAAATTTAACGGAATTAAGTTATAATTTGTTAGAAATAATATTGAATTATTTATTCTAAGCATGAGATTACATTGTGATGTACTTGTTTATTGCAAATGACTTGACGAAAACTTAAGAAAAAGTGGAAATTGAATACTAGGTACAGTGAATCACAAAAGTTTTTGTTACATAACTAGACTGGTAGAGCTTTGATTTATCATGAGTTTAAAACAAACAGACAAAGTGTGGGATTTATCTAAGCTTAAACACATAAAGCGAAACTCTTAACACTAATACTCACTTCTCATCGATAATCATATATTAAGCGTTGGTTTATGGGGATCTGATTGGTTACATGATTATTCACGAGGTGGCATCAGTTACAGGACCACTGAAAAATCTGGGAGTACTCGACAGCTGTTCCGTCCTAGTTCGGTACTTTTCACCAATCACACACACACACCGGGATTGTAATCGAGGACCTTCCGGTTACGAGGCGAGCTCCTGGACCATTTAGCCACTGGGACCCGACCCAATAGACTGTGAACTCCAACTTCTGCCAATTCGTGATACATATATAGCACAGCCCCTGCCACAGGTGGGTAAATCTCCTCTTGCCTAACTTCGTGTATCCCACTGGTTACCACTTCTTGCCAGAATCCCAGGTAACTTCCTGTATAGAGCCAGTCAGTAGTGAGAATCAGACAAATTATCAAGTGCTGAGTTGCAGGGATTTGGTTAGTTGCAGGATTGATCATGTAAATGGAAGGTTCTGGATTTGAAACCCGGTGGGGTGGGTGTGAACTGATGAAGGGTCCACAACTAGGAGAGAACAGCTACCCAGTACTCTTAGGTTTTCCAGTGGTTCTCTAACTGATGTCAGCTCGAGATAATCATTGACTCAGAAAGTAAATGGATTTTATTTATGAGAATCTAAGATATTTGAGTGTCTAAACCGTTCTCTAGGAGGTTTATTTCATGAAGTCATCTCATGACCCCTGAAAACTAGGAGGGAAAAACTCGACTGCTGTTTCCTTTTATCTAAGGAGTCTATAGTTGTACGCCTTTAAAAATTATACTGAGGATTGAACCTAGGGTCTCCAGACTTCTATCAAAGCACAGGTACTACACTCCATGACAAGTGACTAAGCTGTAGTATGATCACCTTGTGGAACTGAAGGTCCCGTATTCGATTCCAAGTGAAATTATGGATGCGTATCTCTAAAGAGTCCCAAACTAGACCCAATAAATTGTGCCTATTGACAGTGAGAATCTATTTGAGTTGGCCTTGAGTTAACAGATTTTGACTGATATGATGCTGAATGACTGAAGGTGAAATGAAGATTAGGATTAAAACCAGCCGCCTGCAAACTACCAATCCGTAGCACTGAACAGATCATTATTTCACTGAAATCACGACGGTTAGTGACTTAATTTCGTGTAAATGAATGGTTGTGCTCATTTTGTACACTAATCTGAAGTCTTGTTAATCTCAGTAACAGGATTCTTTTGCTTTAAAATCGTCGGTTACAACCAATACCTAGTATTCACTAAAATTCTATCATACGGTCAGTTACCTTGACAAATTAGTAACAGTCCCTTTTCTCACATATAAGTTGATTTTCACTCTTCGGGTGGTTGCAGCTTCAACTATTCGAAGTAGTCATGAAGTACTTTGTCTGTTCATAGCCTTAAAAGATTCCGTTGTGTTGATCTGGCGTCCTAGCTCAGTCAGGTGCTAGGCTTTAGTGCTGTTAAATGATACTGAACCTCTAAGATGTAGACTCATTGGGCACATGTTTAACAATCCTTGTAGACAACTATCTCTCGTTACTCCCACGTACCTGCTACTAAATATGTATATGAACTCATGAACACAACTCAAGTTAAAGAGAGTCAGAAATCGGTTAGTTTGGACTGTGTAATCAAAACAGGTTGTTTTATATAGCAGGAACAACTTGGAAGCTGGATATGCAAGTGATTTTGTGTCATTTACTCACCAGTCGATTCTTTCTCCAATTTCCTCACCACTGAATCTTAATTTAGGCAACCCTGGTTTTTTGACATCGTCATACTATGCATTCCTCATTAGACTGAGGATGGTTTTGGTTTATACAGTCATTTAAAATTTACCAACTTTAGTGAGTGCAGAGAAACGCATAGATAAACGCTTTGGCGTTTTAGTTGAGTTCTCATCTCAGTGGAATCACTTCCGCTCACTTGGGGTGTAGTATACACTCTACCAATGGGTTCAAAATGGGATGTCCTTGATTCCACTGTCAGGCATCGTCAACTAAACAAAGCAATCAGAATTCCTTACTAGTTGTCAAAATAGTCTTGAATTCAAAATATTTCAGCCCTTAGGTTAAATTTAAAAGAAGACTTCAAAGCCAAAGGTAATGTTTTCATTTAAATCTCTCTCTACCATCATTCTTATACGCCTAGCTTTACATATACATGGGATCTGTCTTAACTGGTGAGGAGGGAATTCAAGAGTTACTTTGTAGCGATTTCATTTGTTTCAGTTTTGATCACGGATCGATATCTTTAGAGAACCAGAGGAAAACCAGCACTCGAGTAGTGGACAGTGGTCTCGTCAGCCTATTTTGAGACTCATCATCAGCATGTACCACCCACTATCTGGGTTCGAAACTCGGTGTGTTGAGTGAGTATGGACGATGAGTCACTGACTAGGCTGACGAAACAGCTGTCCAATACTCGAGCAATGATTTTCTATGGTCCTCTAACTGATATCAATCCCTGACCAAACTTAAAAAACAAATCAAGTACTTCCAGACAATCTCCTGAAAGTACAAATAGTTGGTACATGTCTTTTAAATTTCTTCTCATTCTTGGTGGAATATAAGACTTCAGACTTGAAGGTTTCAGCAGCGGTGAGGCTGGTATCATACAGAGTGAGGTTGGTTACCACACCCAACTTCCTCCCTTCAGCGGGCTTTCTGTTGACTAGGCAATGTCTAGCAGTAAATGGATTGGGAATAAAACCCGAATCTTCAGCACTAACTGAGTTCATTCTTCTACTAAACTACTGATGCATCACTGGTACATGTGGGGATAATAATAATAATAATTGACTCAGCATGGCAATGTAGGCATTCTAATAATTCAATTGAGCTTATAAATAACACCTCAATCACTGTAATTGGCTACAAGTTTACATACTTTCAGAGCTATGCATAATAGAGTAAAGCTTGGGACAAACTTAATCAAAAACCATATTGTTATCTCATGGGTATTTGTTTCCAAATTTGAATTTAAATAGTCAAACAGCAGTGACATTCATTCCGACCGCCAATTATTTAAACTTTCAATGCTTTTGCTTTTTGTGGCATTAGATAGCTGGATGGAATCGGTAGGAAGCCTTAGACATAAGTTTTGTGCTTGTAAGCACTCATCAGCAAAGCATACTTGCAATTCTGAAGGAATTCATATTCCTTCTGAGATTCGAACCCAAGTCACCCAGTCAGTCGGAGATGTTACCAGTGCGCTATTCAGGTGGGCAGTTGACCTCCTGTAGGACTGTATTGGGTATTTATGTTTGTTTTCACTTTTAAAACTTGCAGGAAACAATTTGTTGTACAACAAAGGCTCACTTACATAATATCGGTTGAACATTAGCATTGTAACCGCCGGATCCATCAAAAGGTTCAAGGTAATAACATTGACCGTTAAACGATGAAGTTACTATATTTAAACAAATAGAAAAATTATATTTAGATATAAGTATACATACAAAATTTATGCATATGTATATTATAGATCGTTTTTAATTTCAGTATCATCTGAATAATGTTGTGGTGCACACTACTTAGAAAAACGCATAAGTAGTATATATCCAGTCACATCTAAAGGAAAGTAATGATAACTTTTGTACCAATGGGACAGCTAGTGAAGACAAAGAAACGTGGGAATTAGGTGACAATACTGAAAAGAATCGAATAGGCAACATAGAAAGACGATATTATTAGCAATCTGTGAGCATTACTGATTGGCGAAATTAAACTCTCATAGCCGAAGTCAAGATCTGTCAAAAGCTCATTATCCAGAACCAATCAGATCTAGGTAACTCTACGAAAAGTCACTCCATATCAAATCTTGCCTGTCTTTTTGGATTTGGAGAGGGTAGATACAATATTCTGCTTATCCCCTTGGTACTTTTCGGTAAATCTGTACTCTTAGGAAGGGTTACGTCTTTTAAGATTAAGGTTAGGGTTAGAATCAGGGGTAGGCACTTGAACAGTGTCATAAATATCAATGGATCTCAAAGTACCATGATCTTCAGTTACCAGGATAAATGTATCTATCGCATATAGTATGATTTCTGTATAGGTTTAACCATTTAGTGATTGACAGACATTCTTGCAACACATAAACTACAAGTATCTAGTGAAATATCATGTTTGCAGTGTTTTTGATTGCATTTATTTCAACGATTATGCAACTCCCTTACATCTGAATTCTGATTGGTTATTCAAGGTCAGTGTGATTTTGGCTGTGATAGCTTAATTTTGTCATCTGGTTAGAGATACTCAGATTAGAGTATAAGCAATCAAATTAGTTAGTGAATATCATTCTCTCAGGATAGCGTATTGTATGACAATCAGAGACCATCTGTTCAAAGAAGAGTGATTAGAATCTCTTGAAAGTGAATTTTAGGTTTCAATTCTTTTAGTATCACTTATAACATTGTTCATAATGACTGCCTGAACGCCAGTCTGACTGATAAACCAGCTATTAAAATAGAAGTGGTCCATCAGTTTAGGTTGTAAAACTTTAACAAAAAGCATAACTTGAAAGAAAGACCTTAGCATTGAAAGGACCATAGCCAGACAACCTACACTTTCTCAAGTGATTCATATTTATTATTCCTTTACGTTCCCAGTGGTGTAACTTAGGGTGCTTCAAGCTAGAGGCCTGAAGGTTGCGATAGCAGTGATGTTTATTTTTACAGGGTGAGATTGCTAGCCTCATGCTCAACCTTCTCTCTCTTTACCCATCTTATTACGGGCTTAACGAGGTAAAGGAGTGCGTCGACCAGGGATCTAAGGCCGGATCACATGAGGCGTGGTTGGCGAGCATTCGACCGCTGTGCCACAGACACTGCAGATGACTCATACCAACAGTAAATGACTTCACGAATTGATTTGATCACTGCTAACTCTATTCTAATTTAAATCTGTTTCAGCTAATATCGCTTGTCAAGGAAAACGGTGACTGTAGATAGGTAACACATGTTTCAGATGGAGATTTACGTCTGCTTCAACTGGCTAACCTTCCTCATTTAACACTGTACACCTCTACTCATTATCCTTCAACACATGGTGACAATTGTATGAAATTTGAGTAGCTTCAACACTATAATATTCGCTACTCTAAAGTAGCCAACTACGGTTATCTCTTAAATGTAAAGATCATGTGAATATCTACACAGAATAATTTATGAGCTATTTTATGTTTATCTACACAAATAAACAACATATTGACCTAGAAAAGATCAAGGAGATGGCAAATTGTTTTCATGTTTAAAATGTATGTCTTTAGATACTTTCTCTATAGCATTGAAGCTACTCAAGGTAACTCTTACCTTTCTAATATCTGGTTTACTATGTAAAGAATAATTATAATAATAGTAGTGGTAGCATTATTCTCTAAACAGTACACTTTTGGTACAAATATGGAATCTTCAGCATGTAGTACAGTACAGTACAGTATTGCAAGTAACTTCTCAATACAGGCGTAATAATTAAACACAGGGGCATTTACATTGATAATGTCATTCATGAAGAACATGAATAAAAAAATTGAATTAAGTGAAAATACCATCAACAATGTTTAATGAAAAAAGAGGGGTGTATACTTGGAGTTCCTCAGTAATTTGATAATTGAAAATCCCCATTGAGTCATATGAAAAAGAGAAGACATTCAGCGAAGAGACTCTTTTCGGTGAATTCATTCACATAGCTGTACAATCGCATTTATATATAAATATTTGTGTGTGTGTGTGTGTACATGAGGTTTGTCAAGTTTAGATAATTGATTAGTTAATACAAGAATGATGTAGTATAGAGACAAAGTTAATCAGACAGCAACTAAAGTGAGACTGAGTTAAAAAACTAGATGACGTAATATAATTGGCTAAAATGTTACAACTTAGGTCAGGATAGCAACAGAGGTAATTACGGGTAGAGATTAAGTAGAAGTGAAATTGAGTGAATAAGTTGGATGACGTAACATGAATGACTAGAAACTGAGCGTTGTTCAATTCAGCAACAGTGGTAGTGGGGTGTAGAGATTGATAATTGATAATTTTCCTGTCTAACACTTTTCTTATCATATAAAATGTGTGCCTGGCAAATAAGGTACTGCGGAGTTTTTTTTACTTAGACGTCCGAGTACTAAGTCTTCTATATACTTGCTTTTAGGTCCAATCAGCTGATGAGATGCATCAGAGAGAAAGTTGAGTATTAGGAGGACAGGATAATACTCGCCAATTTCTTGCAGGAGCCTATATGTCTATCTACAACAGTAATAACGAGTTGGCTCGACAACATCCCACTACTTCCCCTACTGATGACTTTCAGTGTCCTTCTCAGTCTTTCTGAAGTAGCCCAGGAAAGATTGAAGGTAGGGAGTAGTAAAGAAGGATAGGGAGCATACAAGAATTAACACACTTAGAAATTAGAAATATCCTTCTAAACGCCAAAATGATGTAGGAAGACCAGGAATGATCAGAAGAAATACACAGTTAAAGGTATTTAACATCGGATTTAGTTTCAACTTCTGCGGTATCTTTGATAGTCCAACCATGCAAACTAGCCAGTTCATGTAAGTTGCGCTTGCGTCTGAAAGTGAAATTATCAACTTGACACTTGAAGGCATTTAGCTCAAAGTCATTTGAGCTCATTAACCAGTGACTAATTTCTGCTAAAAAGTCATTCATTTTTGAACAGTTCAACTGAGAAGTAACGGCCGGCATAGAAACAGTCAGATCATCAGCATTCTTAACAAAATTGGCTTCGTCAGATTGAGGAAAGTCACGTAAGAAGAAAGAGAAGAGAAAATGAGAAAGAACAATATCTTGTTTGAGAAACACTAGGTAAAATAAGTGAAGCAGTAGAGGACTTTCCATTGTAAACAGTGTACTGCTTTCTATCAGTTAAGTAAGAATGTAACCACTTATTGCAATGTATGAGGAGAGAATACATCATATTTTTGATTGTTTCTGTGTTCAGTTCACAGTAAAGGTCCAAGTATGCCCACGAATTGCCCCTGCCACTCAAAAATCAATAAATTGAATTCTGTGACTGAAATAAAGTGAACTTCTTACAGTGAAGTGTTTGTAAATCCTAAAGATTAGCGGTGAATTTTCTGTCTACCACTGACAGCGGTATGAGATCGACTTATATTTGTAGGTAGTAATAACTTCTCCTGATATTCCTAATTGTGGTGGACTGGATTATGCGTCACACAGTGGGAAACGAGAAGATAGGGATATCCTGGACCGACGTGCAGAACCTAGAAGACCTGGATTTCGCGGATGATTTATGTTTGATATCACGCAAAATCGAAGACTTACAAGCGAAAAACGACAAACTGGTTGAAGAAGCAACAAAGACAGGACTCCAGGTGAACATACACAAGACGGAGGTTATGAAAATAACCAACAACAACAACAACAGCAGCAGCAACATCCAGCGCCAATCACCATCAACAGGAGGGATTTGAAAGAGGTTACCTCATTCACTTATCTAGGGAGCATTGTCTCAACCACAGGAGGAACGGACGGACGAGGATGTCAAATCGAGAATCGAGAAGGCGAGAAACACATTCATCACACATCATGAAACCAATCTGGAAATCTTCGTCACTCAACTCAGCATCAACAACAAAATTCGGATTTTCAATACAAACGTCAAGTCAGTCAGTTCTTCTATACGGATCAGAAACTTGGCGAGTCACAAAGAATATTTCCAACAGCCTGTTGCAGAGCTTTATCAACAACCGTCTTCGTTCTATACTCAAGATCAGATGGCCGGAAATAATCACCAGCAAGAAACTATGGGGACAGACAAAACAAGAACCAATCGCCGAACAAATATGCAGGAGAAAGTGGAGATGGATTGGACACTCACTGAGGAGGCCACTGGGTGACATCGCGCATCAGGCCATAGCTCGAGTGGAACCCAAAAGGGAAGTGGCGAGTGGGACGTCCAAGGGTGACATGGAGGAGATCGTGTGAAGAGGAGTTGAAACAGTATGGACTAACATGGATGCAGGTGAAAAGTACAGCAGAAGACAGAAGCGAGTGGAGGCGTGCAGTTGAAGCCCTATGTTTCACTAGGAACCCAAGGGAACAATAATAATAATAACTTCTCCAGATTTTTAAAAATCACTTCTATTGATTACTGAGATGTTCAAAGTCTGTTATTAAAGCAGGATATCCTATAGACTGTAGACCAATTTCGAACACTTACTTAAATACCTATTAAAGAGCGATAGTATATATATATACATATATATATATAACTTGTCGCTGAATTTTAATACTGATGTACTGAACATTCATACTTAACGTAATGGTGTGGTGGTGTGATACAGACAATTACGTGGTACTCAACGGCACAAAGTAAGAAATTTGATAAGGTTTATATTGCTGTTGAGCGAGAATAAAGGTATTTGAGTGT